TAAAAGATAAATGTTTTATATGATGTTTGTAACACAACTGTTTCTGATAAAATAATAGTATGGGTTATGCACACATGTGTTTTTAAGAACTATCTGTTATAATTAGTGTGTCTCTAAATTTAATTGCAGTACCATTTTATTTCTAGTTAGTAATGTTTGATGTTTGTTTATGTGTAAAGCAGATATAAGTTACTTTAGGTATAACCAAGTGTTGGGTGTGCATGGTGGAATGCTTAATCGGGGCACCATATCTTTAATTTGAAATTCCTGGTCATGTTGAGATAACTGCATAGTGCTTTAGTTTGGAAATACTTGATGTGGAGGCAACTGGAGTGATGAGAAGTACACCTTAGGTGGGTGTGTAGACTGTTCTGGTCTTCTTCACAGTCACCAGTGCTAGGGGTTGTCATAGTTACACTGACCATGTTGCCGTGTAGGATGGGCATTTGAGGCAAGATTTTAGTTCCATGAATTGCTGCATCTGAACAAACCTGTGGTACTTTGTTACAGATTGGCCCCAGAAGAATACATACAGTAAGAGTTCGTGGTGGCAATAAAAAATACCGTGCTCTCCGTTTGGATGTTGGAAACTTCTCTTGGGGATCTGAATGTAAGTGTGAAGTAGATGTTCTGTAGAGTATTAGCTTGGCGGGTGGGGGGGGTTAGTAACCAAAAAGCACAAATAAGAAAACTGTGATGATAACTTTGACCTTAAGAGAGCTATGGTGAATTCCTAGCTCTCAGTGATAAGAGTGTCATAGTTACCCTGAGTATGTATGCACTGTTGCTATAGGAATGTTAAAGGGGAGACAAATTGTTTATATAAGCTTGAAAGGTATCGTTCAAGACTGGTAAAAACTGAGGGGTTGAGATAGAAATAATGAAAAACATTAGCTTACTTTAAACAAGCAGCATGGATTTAAAGGCTGTTATTTAGTGATGAAGAGACAATGTTGTAGATCAGGGGTGTCAAACTGCCGGCCCACGGGGTGGACGTGTCACGCAGAAGCCGCACCACCCCATTGCCGGCAATGGCAAAACCGTCCTGATACGCTGACATCGCAAGTTTGACATGTCTGCTGTAGATGGTACAAGTATAAGAACAACCATACAATGAATTTGAACATTTGCATGTTTAGTTTGCTACCCCACTAGTATTTGGGGGAGGGAAGGGCTGCAGGCTTCCTTAAGAGCGTAGCTTTGTACCTACTCAGGTGTACCTAATTGGTCAATTCATAATCCTGGTGTTGTATTTGGTTGGTGAGGTTAATACTCCACTGCAGATTCCGTATTTACTTTAGTTCATATTTGTTATTGAACTTGGTTATGAGGGCATTATTGGGGCTGCTGAAAGATGTAATATAAGATGAACTAGAGTGCTGATTATGATGTTTTGCGGAGATACAAAGCTTGACGCCCTTTGCATCATCATCAGTGATGTTACACATATGTGTAAAGGGGGTAAGCTTGTGTTGCAGGGTCATCATGCTGTTTGCAAATATCTTCATATTTTCCAGTCATTTTAGTTTGCAGAGTCATATCTACTTTGTAGTTTGTAAATTCTCTTTATTCTTTAAATTCTGCTTTTTATTGTTTTAAATGGGGGGGGTTGGAAATGGAAGCAGTCCCTGCACAATATGAAGGCCTATTTTTTTCTGTCCATGAGATTCTTATACCATTCAGTTATTTTTTTATGCTTGAAAAATACATTCCTTTTGTTACAGGCTGTACCCGCAAAACCAGAATAATTGATGTAGTGTACAATGCATCCAATAATGAGTTGGTGCGCACAAAGACCCTGGTCAAAAACTGCATTGTCCTTATTGACAGCACACCATACCGACACTGGTATGAGGCCCACTATGCCTTGCCCCTTGGGCGCAAAAAGGGCGCCAAGCTGGTAGGTAAAAATACTCTACTCAGAGGTTTAAAAATATTTTTGTCTTCTGATGATGATACTGTTAACCAGTTCTGCTGCTGAAGGAGAGTGATGGCATATTTACTGATCTGAAGAAGACATGAGACCAAGCTGTGTAGGGTCGCTTTCCAATTTAGAGCATCTTAGCGCTGAAGCACGGAAGCAAATGTTTTTAATAAAAAGGATTCTATAAATTATTTTGGGTTGTAGATTGGAAAATGCTTATAGTCTGTTATCCCATCAGTGCTTAGATCTCAATTTTTTTCAAAATTGTTTTAAAGTAGCAAAGAGTTCAGGACCCTGGTCATACTGTATAGATTGTATTAGTATGCGCAAACCCAAACAAATAGTTTGCTTCAGTAATTCTGCCAAACCATTCTGGGTAGGCTGCAATTTGGCAAAACCCAAAGCATTTTGATTGCCCTGGGTATTGGCTGAAACAAAATATGGAGACGTTCGATGGGATGAGTAGGACAAGACCTGTGCACCTCACATCTATACCTCTTGCCTATGTGTGTACATTATTTGTAAATTCTTAGCACCTTCCCTTGACTGCCACTATCAGTGTGTTTATTCAGACCCTGCACTTCTAATTGGCGTTCTCGTATTTCCAATTCTTTCCTGACTACAAGGAAGTGGGCATCGGTAGCTGCAGGTGAAGAAAAAAAATGGTGCTTGGAAAATGAGAGAGATAGGCTGGTTGAATAAACTACTGTTCAAGTTGTGGAAAATTGGCAAGTGACCAAAGCTAATCAGACTTCGCAGTATATCCAACCAGACAGGGTGGCCTCTCTCTCCTCAGTCATCTTTTCCCTTCCACTTGACACACATAACACATTTTTGGTCTAGGCCAGTGTTTCCCAAACTTGACAATTTTAAGGCATGAGGACTTCAACTCCCAGAATTCCACAGCCAGCAACGCTGGCTGTGGAATTCTGGGAGTTGAAGTCCACATGCCTTAAAATTGTCAAGTTTGGGAAACACTGGTCTAGGCATAGAACAAGTTGTTTTTTTATGTGCAAAAGAGTTTATGCACAAAATGCTTTGTTCAATGCTAGTTTTTAATCTTGCAACCCCAAAATGTGCTGAATGTTCCAGGTGTTTGTGGAGTTGTGGGAAGTAACCGCCACTTCTGCTTTCCTTCCAGACTCCTGAGGAGGAAGAAATTTTAAACAAAAAACGTTCAAAGAAAATTCAGAAGAAGTATGATGAGCGGAAAAAGAATGCCAAGATCAGTAGCCTCCTGGAGGAACAGTTCCAACAAGGAAAGCTACTTGGTAAGATGTAAAAAAACAGACAACTAAGCTTGATAGGCACAGCAGAAGATTTACACAGATGTACAATTTTGATAAATTATGTGATGGTGGCAGTCTATACTCAGAGTTGACAGAAATCTGTAGCATCTTTAGGACAGGATTTACTTGTTTCAACTCTTGGAATAATACTTAGCTTGACAATTGTTAGAGCTATTTTCTAGTTGTTGATACTTTATACAAGTTAGAACCAGGAATTCAAGTGTCAAGTGATCACCATGTTATCCTGCATAATTGACCAGGGATTTGAAGTTGACCTTGTGATGAAAACTTTGTCCAGTTCTGCTGCTGAATGTGAGTGGTGACATTTCAACTTCTGAAGGTCACTTCATCTGTGGGAAGGCCGTTAAATTTTTAAAGGCGTACACTTAGTGAGAAGATGACCATAATTGTGTTAATATGGAGTTAATAGCAAGAAAGGTTTTGCATTTAAAGAAGCTTATTCACTGGTCTTAATTGACACTTTTTCATTTAATTTTGTCCTTTCCTTTTTCAGCTTGCATTGCCTCCAGACCTGGACAGTGTGGCCGAGCAGATGGCTACATTCTGGAAGGCAAGGAGCTAGAATTCTATCTGAGAAAGATCAAAGCCAGAAAAGGCAAATGAACCCATTTATTGTATCTTAACAGGCTTAATAAATATCTCAAGAGTCTTGTTATAAATTATTAGTGTGGTTATTTAGGGGCATTAGAACAAGTAGTATATGGGTGGTCAGCGCTGGAGTGGAATTTATACGAATATTGTGGACTGTAGACCTCATGTTGGGAAGAAAGTTTGGGCTTGCTTCACTCTGGCGCCAATGTGTTTCCTTGTAGGCCAAACTATGACTTAACTGCAGCCCCGAGAAAAACAATACTCACTGATACTTTCTCTTACTGATCCTTTCGAAAGCTATTTCGTTTTCTAAACTTGTTACATTTTTATTTGGGAGAAGACCTGTTGCTGCCATTCCCCAGTTGAAAATGGAGGCACGATGGGGTAGATGTTTAGAAATGCTTAAACCAGTGATGGCAAACCTTTTAGAGACCGAGTGCCCAAACTGCAACCCAAAACCCACTTATGCATTGGGTGCCGGGTGGGTGTGGCCCATTGGCTGGGGGGGGGCATGGTTGGAGTGGTAACGGTAGACTGGGTGCGACTAAAAAGTTCAGTCAATTCCAACTTTGCAAGATCTTTTTTTTTTCTGCGAGAAGTTGAAATTGACTGAACCTTCTTTTTTTTGCACACGGCGGAGGAGGCCTAAAGCGAAAAGGTTTTATAAAACCCAGCTGAAAGCCTAGGACTGGGCGACGGCACACGTGCCCACAGAGAGGGCACGTGAACCTATGGCACCCGTGCCATAGGTTCACCACCACTGGCTTAAACCGTGTGTGAAATTAAACTATACAGCTACTGAAGTATAAGTTGATGGAAAGCTTGGCGAATGTGTAAGGAAAATTGAGCAACTGGAAAATAATATTAAGCAAATCTAAGTGTTGCTCCTTCATTGAGAGAACTTTTATATTTAGCCTGAAGCTTATTATTTTTCAGTGCCCTCATTTTTCTCCTTGTCACAATTTTAATGTTATTGAGTCAGTTTCACTTGAGAGTCGTGTGATTTACTTCTGAATAAATAAGGTTATGCTGCTGAATTCTCAAAATTGCATGGATTCCAATGAAATAAATTAAGAATTATTAACACAAAATATCTTCCTAGTTGAATATTTGGCTCATCTGGATTTCAATATTCTTCAGATACCTATATCATAAAAAAGTTTCAGAACACACACTTTTAAAAGATTATTTTATTAATCATAAGATAAACAAAATTTGGTTATGGCATTAAATGTATTAAAGAAAATACATAACTGGTATCTCTGTAAATACATCTGACACGAAGAACTCAGAAGGCTAAATACAGAAGGCACAAAGGTTAGGTTCTGAGCAACATGCTAGGTTAATTTTGAGTGAAAAGGGGCCTATGGCCAGAGAAATGGCAATGTGTTTACCATAAAGGAGGTGACTCTTGGAAGGCGAACATAGGAACCCACTTTTATGTCCTGGTAAATTTTATTTTATTTTTTTTACTTTCCTAGGAGTTCAGAAATTTATCTCACTTGTCCGTATGCTGGTTAAAATGGGAAGGATCTGTAATTTGTAAAAATACAACTTTTGAAACACTCTCCACAGTTGATCAACAAACAATTGCAGCTAGAAATCTTGGTTATCTGTTGACCTTAGCTAGAGGGCTGCTCAGTACTGCTGATGCTGTCATCTAGGGATCCTATCACAGTAACAATGGGTATATCTTTTCTCTCTATTTCTGCACTGAGAGGAGCACAGGTCTCGTTAATTCTGGTTTCCTCATCCTCTGTTTCTTCCTCGTCGATACGGCCAACAGCATCTGGATCTTCTCTGCGATTGAAATTGGGACTGGCAGAAGGAAAGATACCCTCGGATCTCAAGCGCAGTAACTGAGGGTGGGAAATCCGGTTGCCCTTCCCAAAATTTTTGAGGCTAATTGCTGGAGAGGCAGCAGCAGCATAAAAGCGGCTGAGCAAGGGGGTCTGTATGCGGTTCATACTGGGTGATGCATCGACCTGCTGGTTCTGCTCTGGGTCATCACTCATCCTACACAAAAGGGGAAAAGATGATTTAGCATATGCACAACTGAGTGAAATGAAAAATAATTCACGATTTCATATCAACTGACCAATTGCAGGGATAGTGCCTTCCTATTGGCTGATTGGTATGTTGATGGCTAGTGATTGGCTGTTGTTTCCTTGTGCAGCCAACCCCTCATCTCCGAAGTATTTGATAGGCTGATGATAATTCAGCACTCCTGTTAACTGACAAGGGGCCCATTTCCCAGGTTTCAATCATTTCCCTGGCTGCCTGCATGACCAATGATCTTAGCAGCTGCAAAATTAAATGAGTGTCCTTGTTCATTGCACTGTGAGGCTACCAATGAGATAGGTTCTCCTCGTCTGACCGCTTGCTTACGTTCTTGCAATCTGGTGGTTAGTGTCCACTCCGTTTGCCCTACATAGTCACATTTGACCGACCCAAATTCAATCTCACATTAATCTGGGACACGTATATTTGCCTTCATTTGTGAAGCAATAAATTGACTGATCATATTTTACTGATTTCAGTAGAAATTCACTGAATTAAGTACATTGATTAAGCCAAGTGATAGAAATTTATGGTCTGACCCCAGCTAGTAACTCCTTTAGTATATTTGAACTTGAGATGATTCTTCGAGAACTAAGGAAGGACAGATCTATAGTGGAGCACCTATGCTGTGGCATACTCCACAGTAGAGTATTCCAGCCACAATTGCTTCTTGGAGGGAATCTGTTGAGTACAATAGAATACCTGTGCTATACACTGCCACCTGTGGGAAGTGTCTGAAATTTCACATAATTCCATGTGTTCTTAGTGCCCTTCTGGTAAATGTAGAATTTGCTTTAATGTAGAATTTGTTTTTATTTGCAGGATCATGTTGCCTTATGTGAAACCTCAGTATTAGCTATATTTCTGTGTCAGTTTAAGATTAATTGCACAGATGACTTCTGGTTTGTGTCGTGGTGAGATGGACGCAAAAAGGCAGGGCTCTGCCTTCCGCGCCCGATTTCGCCGTGGTGGAGGCCCTAAAAAGGATCTAAAATCACCCCAAAGAGGCAGTGAAAAGGAGAGGTGCTTGGTTGATCACGGAGAGACGGCAGTCTTTCCATTCAATCCAAGGAAAGCCCTCCAAACCGGCAAGGGAAAGACCGGCTACATTCCTGTGGCCAGTTATTAGCTGCTGACGACCAAAGGAGAAAAAAAAGCACTATCTAAGGCAGTGGTTCTCAACCTTTTTAATACCGCGACCCCCAACTGGTCGTAATTCGAGGACTACTCAACCGGTCGTAAGTTGAGGACTACTCAACTGGTGCAGCACCGTTTGCAGAATGGGACTTTTGGCGGGCTCAGCAGGGCAGAGACAGCCTGTACAAATACAATTTCAAAAGCCAATAGAATAAAAGGGAGTAGCACAGCTAAGGAAAAGGGGGGGGGAAATGGCGGACTGCGTTGTTTGGCGACCCCCGTGAAATGGTCGTTCGACCCCAAATGGGGTCCCGACCCACTGGTTGAGAACCACTGATCTAAGGCATCGTAAACAGCATGTTTGAAACTGGGTGAGAATATTGATTCTTTACTATTTTACAATTGAATTTCCTGGGAAAGGCTCCCAAGAAGCTAAAAACCTCCAAATGTAAATGGAAGCGGGAAGAAACATTACAATATTGAAGTGGAAATAATATAAAGCTACAGTTTTGATAAATTGGAAAACTGAGATAACTGTTAAGATTTTCTCTTTGAAAAAAAAACAAAACATTACAGTGAAATATAAGAAATCAATAAGCTGCTCTTGGGTTTTAATTTCCATTGTCCTAAACTTCATGGAAGACATGGTAGTTATAGCTTATGAAAGTGAGAATTCAATGATATCTTGAAGGAAAATGTCAGTGGACATATGGGATTGTAGGAGAGCTGTGGTAGTCTGGTTAAAATTCAGTCTGGTGCATCGGTTAAAGCAAGCTGCAAGTCATGGAAGCTTATATCTTTTAATAACATTTATTAGTTGCAAAAAGTGTTATCAGGTTTCATCTGAGTATTTAGGAGGAGTGTTGCATCATTTGGTTTACAACTGGTATCAATCAATTGCCTTGTTACCGTGCTTGTTGATGCTTTCATGAATGTCAATCATGCTGTTTATTCCTCTTCAATTTCCTTAAAATTTATTTCAAGCAGAAACTTCCTCCCCCCCCAACTTCCAATGTTCAGTTCTTTAGAAAATTAGAAATTTTCCAGGATAGGAATTGGAAAGAATAAATTATCTTGCTTTGATATGATAATTATCCAAAGTTTTTATGAAGGCATGAATATTCATAGGTTACATGAGAGTTTATATCTATCAAGTTATCAATTTGGATGAGGAGGTTCACAAAGGCAGAGGCTATGATTCTACCAGGCAGTTGTCATATTTGCCAACCTCGATAGATAAGTTGTCTGACAACCAACACATTTAGCAGTTGAACTTACCGCATATCAAAGGTGGAGCCCATGAAGGAAGGTTTCAAGGTCTCTGCCATTGTGGCCATTGTGTAGGGTAGTTGAGCTGTAGATTCATTCCAGTATTTGTCCTTCCCGGTTGGAGGCAAGTTCTGGTACATGTCATCCACTGAAAGCAATGATACCTAGCCAAAAAAGAGAATTCTTCTGTTTTTAAAGAGTAGCTGGTGAAACTCTAAATGTCTGTTAATTATTGTGCTTTAATGTTAGATTCAAATCTTTGATTTGCGTAATTGTCCTTTTAATGTCTGCTTTCACAGAGTTAGAAAAAAACAAAAAGCAGACATGTTGGGACTCAGAGCAATTTGGTTGGCTGTCCGAATCAACAATGCTCTCCAGATTATTGAAGTTATTCTTACGATAGGCTTTTGGTGCCATTTTGCCATATGGTGTGAAATTAAAAACATCTGACAGCATCGGGTTGAGAAAGGCTAGGATTACCCAGATTTCCCAGATTAATTTCATGCTGTTGTAGCTGCCATAAGGACATTTTAAATCACTAGCAATAGTTAACATCCTAGTGCACCAGTTTCTAGACCAGGTAAAATTTGTGCCTCATTTAAGTAGCACATTTCCTATTTTATGTATTTATATAAGACTCACCTGAAAGTTTCTGTCTATCAATTTATTAGTTTCAAAATCATCATCATCCTCTCCAAAAGGGTTAATTATTTGTTCAGCCACCTATATGGGAGGGAACACTTATTCAATATTTTGAAGATAGCTGTGAATCTGCTTAAAATGAACAGTAGTTTTGTAAATCTTAATCTGTAGCTATACATAAAGGCTAGCTATGTAGCAAAAACATTACCGTACCTTAACAGTCCAAAGGCATTCTGTTAAACAGAAATAAATGAAAGTTGTATAGATTGTGATGCAACTTAAAAACATTAAAAAGTTGAGCTTCACAAGCTACATCTTATTGCCCGAAGAAGAAAGGATAGTTGATAAGATTCAGTAAACTTTCACTGGGGGGGGGGGAATGTGGGATAGGCTGTCTAATGTTTCATTCAAGATCCTGACAGTGTTTTGAGCTTCTGGTTTATTTCGTACCAGTTTATTCCACCAATGGTGTCACTATATTTTAAGTATAGTGACTCCATTTGTGGAAAAAACTGGTATGAAAGCTCTAAAGTGAGAGTTTGCGCAATCTATTTAAGAACTGTACAGTACCAGTAGGACAGGTCATATGGCAAGAGTACTTTGAGCTATTTTATTTTTATTAAATTATTACTGTAATATAAAAAACGTCAAACTATTTGCTAGAAGCCAACATTCTCACCTTCAGCCACCCAGCATAAAAGAAAAACTGTAGGAGTGTGGGCAAGGGAACATACATGTCTAGTTCTTCACCATGAGCTGGATCCAGAAACTGACGACCAACCACACAAAATGCAAAGAAAGAATAGACAGCTATAGTGACCACCTGTGGAAAAGATGGCATTTACGTCTGGTATTAGACATCATCACTGGGTATCACTGGACTCAGCAATTTTTTTTAAGCAATCCATTTTCCCATTTAAATGAGTTTCTTAAAACCTTTATTTCATGCACATCCACCACCCACTTACAAACAGTGAAACATTCCAAATATTTTACCGTGGCTCTTTATTTATTTATTTATTTGCTTTGGTAGCTGTAGCTGCAGACGCAAGCTATGTTTATATGTTTCCTCTTGTACTGACCTGTGTGTACACTAGGGGGATACTGATCCAGTCAAAGTGAAAAAGCATGCTGCATTTGGCACGGTAGAGATTCAGCTCCTGCATGGGAAAAAAAACAGAAGCTTCAGAATTTGCAGCTTTGATAAACAGTTTGACCTGTATTGCAATATCCAGCTTTTAGCTAAGTGCAATTTGAGGCTTCCTTTAAATTGAAATGTAATTTTACGTTAGGCTTATAGACAAGAAGATAGATAAGTATGTTCAGCCAATTCATGGAATCGGGGCTTTTTTGCAGCATAGATGAGATATGTGAAGTTAAAATCATAACCTAGGAAGCAACAAAGTTACTTTTATATAAATTACAATATTCTTTAGATTTATATAGATCAATAGGGTTTGTTTGTTTTTTTGCCAGATAGTGGACCTCAAGAAGGTAAGAATATGCCAAGAATGCCAAGAATAACCCTGGCAAATGATGCAAAACAAGAATCAGAATAGTTTAAACTTGGGTACTTATAACCTCCTCCACTGTTCCTTGAACTTACATCCATGAGCAATCTGAGTGCCACATCATCGCGGATCCTCCCTTCTCGTCGTGCCTGAGCAGCTAGATTGGTGAACCATACACAGGGGATCCAATACTTGTTGAAGTCTGAATGGAGACTCTCATATTTCTTGCGTTCATCCTGTGTCATAAAACCTGTATGAGGCGGGCATGGGAAAGTTGTAGAAATTGGCTTGGAAGCAGGTTCAAAATATGGACTCAGTCACATTACAGTAATACTTTGTGTTAGAATGAAGGAATAGGTATGTTCATTGCCCTGAATTTATAAACATAATAAAGGTGGGATTATATATTATGGGGTTGATATTATGGACTGAGGAAGTTTAAATTGAAAAAAAATGCAAGGGTCCCGTCACAGTTTCTTGTTTTGTCACTCCAATTTCTCAAAAACCACTCTCTTGAAAGATTTAAAGTACAGTGTCCTTTCCCCATCTGCCTGGGGGATTCTGAGAAGTTAAAGTCCACTAGAATTGTAGGCCAACAAATTGGGGAAATTGGTTTAGAACATGATGCATTATAAGCAGCTTGACTTTCCTATGCAGTTTCCAAATTAGCTATTAGCAAAGCAGTTTTAGCAATGTCCCTTAAGACAACTTTACATCTTAGAGAGATACAGTAAAAAAAAAGATTATGCATTAAAAAAATTCTCCCTAACCTTGTGCCCTCTAAAGGCTGGTGTTGAAGAAGACTGCCGTTGAGCAGATGAGCCAATGCAAGGACTTGCAAAGATAGATCAAAACTGACTTTCCTCCTGCTTTTCTCTTCCCCCCCCCCCCCCGGGCAATAGCCCCAATGTAAGAAGCTTCTCGCATCCACTCTCACTCCCTCAAGTCTTATATCTTTCCTTCCCAGTCAGGCTCACCAGCTTCCACGATGTGGTCCATTGTAGGGAATCTCTTAAGCACTCTGGTGCTGACTGAACGCAGGATTAGGACAGAAGACAGGTTGGCGTAACGAATGAGTGTGCGCCGCAAAATGCGACCTTTCTCATCTCTCCCATGAACGTTGCTGGAAATGACACACATCAGCTGATCTGGCAGGGGAATGCTGGTATATTGGGCCCACCAACGGTTCACAATCAGTGTGACGTAAAAACCTACCAAAAGAGAAGTTCAATTGTCCTAAAAGAATAAGGGCTGGGACCTGTTCCTTGTGCAAAGATGTGGGGCAGTAATCAATTTTACTGAGTAGCTGTTGTTTGAGTTCCACATATTTCAAATCCAAAGGCTATTTAAATCGTTGTTTTAAACTATTGCTTTATGTCTAATTTGAGACAACCTAGCTTTTTAGACATTTTTTGCTCTTGTGGTTTTAAATGATGCCAAAAAGGAGATGAAGGCTCTTAATCAATCAGTTACAAAAATAAAATTGGAGATTTACAACACTATTAGATTGTTGATTAATGTGTGGTAGCAAAATACCAAACAAAGGTGTGTGTGTGTGTGTGTGTGTGTGTGTGTGTGTGTGTTTTGCTGCTATCTGTGGTCATCTGGCTGTTGGTAGCCCCGATAAAAATAGCTCTAACACAATGAAATCTTAGAGACCAATCACCAAAGGTCTTCAGAGTCACTGCACATAAATAATGGTTCTGTTTAGATATGGCAATAACATTAGCAATAGCACCTAAGATTTTATACCGCTCCATACAGCACTCTCTGAGTGGTTTACAATGTCAATATATTGCCCCCCAAAACCTGGGTCCTCATTTTAGCAACCTCAGAAAGATGGAAGGCTGACTCAATCTTGAGCCCATCAAGATTGAACTCCAGACTTGGGCAGAGTTAGCCTGCAATACTGCATTCTAATCATTGCGCCACCAGAGCTCAATATCAAAATGCTTAGAAGGGTTTGAAACTTCAGCTGCGTGAAAAGTCTTAGCCATAAAAATCTCACTTTTCTAGAGTAAATGCTTTCCTGTTTCAAATAAAAATACAAGAAATTCAGCCAGTCCTAAGTCAGAATAGTAACAATCACAACCAGAATAAACAGAGAAGCTTGATGTATTTTAAAGCAGCCATTTTGATGGGGACTGATGCCAAACAATTGTTCTTCTCAATATTTGCTCAAATTTAGGCCTGGTTTCCTGAAAAAAAGCAATATATTTCCTGTATTTTGGAGCATGACATAAGTTCTTCAAACTTAAAATAAAGAAAAATTGCCCTTTACGAAGAATTGTTCATTCAACCTGGCTCATTCTTTTTAGCAATAATAAACTAATACCCAAGGTATCCACAATATAGTTATGACCACAAGAAGGTGACCACTATAATGTGATCGATGCTCTATTTTTAAGATTCATCACAGGCTGGAGCTTTGATCACACAATCAAGAGCACCATCTTGATTTTTCTGACCATACCAGCTAATTTCTGAAAACTTACTCTTCATGTCCTTTTGAGAGCAAAATTTGCAAATGAATGTCCTTTACTGCAGAAAAACAAGATCCATCATATTGTCAATTTGCCCTCAAACATTGGATAAGTTCATTCTGTATAATATAGGCATTAATTCTCTTAAACCAGATTGTCACTTCCCTTTTCATTTGTTACCTGATTTCTCCTCCTTCACTTCCCTTTTTCCATGCCCGGGCCCTGACATTTACCTTGTGGCTATGTTCTACTTCCCCATCTCCTCCTCTTTAATTAGCCCTGGAGTTTAAAAAGGACACTTTGTATGCAGGAGAGATCATGTGATATCAGTGGATTATGACTCCAGAGTTTACAAGGGAAATGTCTCCCTGGGGATGGAAAGAGAGGGGCCGTTGAGGGGAGGGGAGGGCAAAGCTCCACACAATGAAAGGGATTGTCCTGGAGATATTTCTTCCTAGCTTCAAAGGAAAGAAAAGGCTTGGGAGTTACATCGGAAAGTAGGCAACTATCCAGAACTGCAGAATTTCTTGCCATCTATGGATGAGGAATGTCACTTCGAGAGCCAGAAAGAAACAACTGGGAAGCAAAGAGTTCAGTTTTTCATTTAGCTCTTGAAGGACATAAAAATGAAACAAGGAATTTGGGGCATTTTCCTGATTTTGAAGAGACATGTTGACATGATGCTATATGAGGAAGTTTTAAAGCTCTAATACTCTAATCCAGATTTCTCCAATCTAGTGATTTCCAGATTGCAAAGGAATTTTGGATTTGTAATCCCAGCACATCTGGAAGGCATTAGATTGAGGGAAATAATCAATTCTGGTTTGTTTGTTTTTTACTTTGACATGTTATATTTGTGATGATTATTTTTATATGTGTGCCTTCAAGTCTGTGTATACTCCAGAAACCTACTTGGACAAGTCCCTACATTTTCCTTGGCAAGATTTCAGTGGTTTTCCATTGCTTTCTTATTATTATTGGGGGGGGAGAGAGAGAGAGAGAGAGAGAGAGGGAGGGAGGGAGGGAGGGAGGGAGGGAGAGAGAGAGAGAGAGAGAGAGAGAGAGAGAGAGAGAGAGAAAGAGAGATGATCCAAGGTCACCCAGTTGGCTTTGTGCCCAAGGTGGAGCTAGAACAGACACTCTCCCAGTTTCTAACTTGATGTCTTAACCATTACACTAAAACAGCTCTCTTGTAATCATTAAATTCTAAAGTCATCTAGATTAAATTCAGGAATAAATTCTCAGATTTCAAGCTAATAGTCATACCTAACATAAATAAACTGCCAAGAGTCATATAAATTCAACAAATTATTGTTATTGTTAGTTATTAACAAATAAAATGTTTTAACAGAAAAGATGTTTACATGTGAGTTTATATTTACATAAGAGTTCATTTATGAACAAAGTTGGATTTCTGTTTCAACTTTGGATTCTACTCTTGGTAACTATAGGATATTTCACCCTTCAATTTGTCTGTCTTTGAACTGGAAATCCCAGATGCAAAGGATCATTGTGTATTACTCTTGCATTTCTCATCTAGACTTTTAAGCCCACATTTTCATGTAGGAACATATATAGGTAGGAATGTGTAAAGTAATTTGCAGGACTATTGGACTACTTCTCTGCCTAGTTCAGAACTATCTCTTAGGTCTGGCCATAGGGCTTCTGTATCTTTCTTGTTATTGGATCTACTTAGCTAAAGAAGACAGAATTGGCTGTGGCCTTTTTTTAAAAGCAAAGCATGCACTCTACCTTTGACCTATAAGAAGTAATATAGGATTCTAAATTACCCAGTTACTTTCATCACATCTCTGCCATTTCAACTGACCAATAAAAGCAGATAAACGGAAACCACAGCAAGGTGTGCCATCAAGAGTATGTAAATAAATCTTACCTAGGACAAAAGACAGAGGGATGAGGTCAGTGGAGCGATTGCAATATTTAGCCACCTTTTCAAAGAGGCGTTTTTGATCTTCATTGAGAAGGTATCTGGGGAGAGAGGAAAGGAATACCAAGCTTGGATTGTATCATGCTAAATATTCTTCTTTAAACTAACAAGAGATGAGGTTCTTTTGCCTATTCCTGCCAAAGCAAGTTCTCTCTTAGTCTACTTGGGTGATAATCTCATCATAGACTTGGTTCCACTGTAGTTTGTAAACTGTAGTTTATGACTTAGCACAGTGTTTCCCAAACTTGACAATTTTAAGGCATGTGGACTTCAACTCCCAGAATTCCACAGCCAGCGTTGCTGGCTGTGGAATTCTGGAGTTGAAGTCCTCATGCCTTAAAATTGTCAAGTTTGGGAAACACTGACTTAGCATCATATGATCACCTGGTTTATTTTATTCCACAAATCACATTACTGTATGTATATTTTATTGTTGGGGATATAAGATATGTCAGTTTCTGTAAGCTGTGTGAGATATATCATTGTTGTGTTGAACAGTGTTTAACTGAGCATTGATATTCCGATCACTCTGCTGCTACAGGTTGCAAATCTTAGCACGGCACTTACTCAAGATCCAAACAGACAAGATATTCAAGATTTATTAAAACAGACTGCTTGAAGCCTTTTCATGTTTTGCCCAACAGTGGCTAACAAACAAAATTGGTTTTCACTATCCCAAAGCAATATTGATATATCTGTTCATTTTGATGTGAGTAGAATCTGAACTAGAGGTCATAATTCATTGCAGAAGAACTATAGTAAAATATTAAGAGAGTGCCTGTGTACCACAACTAACCATTGAATGGAAAATGGCGTTCCATGGACTTAACTAGAATTTTACTTAACATATATTTTAAATTTGCACTTGCATATTATGGGGTTCATGATGAAGTCCCTTCAGTTGCTAGTTAAATTAAACACACAATATCGGCATCTCTGGGAAATATTCTACTGTTACTATATGTTACATTGCGACTGTTGCTGTATGAGGAAGAGAATAAGCCTCAAATTACTGCTGCCACAGCCACAGAACATCTCTCCTCCAGCAGCTAATACCCAGGCAAGCAGGGAATAACACCAGACAATCAAGCAGAAAACAGTACCCTAATCAAGAAACTACCAAGGATAAACCCAGTAGGGCAGTGTTTTCCAAACTTGACAATTTTAAGGCATGAGGACTTCAACTCCCAGAATTCCACAGCCAGCGTTGCTGTGCTGTGGAATTCTGGGAGTTGAAGTCCACATGCCTTAAAATTGTCAAGTTTGGGAAACACTGCAGTAGGGCAAGCTATATAAACAGGAGCAAACTCCACACACACTAAACTGATGTTGTCTAGGTGAGTAATAAAACATACGCAAGCAAACAGTCAAGCTCAGAGAGATCAGGGACTCCACGCCCATTTATTTCTTTGGTTTGATATTTTATTTTGAGAAATCAATTTGAACTCTTTATTTGGACAGCTGAGCCTCCAAAGAGTCTGTTTGTAATGACAACCCCTGACCATGAATGCTTAAGAGCCTGGGGAAAATAAACTATAGCAATTTTCTACACGGTTGGAGAGTCCAGTGTTTGTTGTCAGATACTCACTTGTCAGTTCCCCACCCCTCTGTCCACAAAGGTCTCGGTCACACAGGCTTTCTGTGCAGCATTAAGGCAAGACAGTGGTGAAAAAAAATCTTTCCTCAACTGAATGGTTCTCTGGTTTAGATGCTCCATTTTGCCCTTTTGAATATATCTTCTAGACAGATGCCACAGTCAAATTAACCCTTGATTGTGTAAAATGATCTCATCATACCTCACCAATCATGGGAATGCGTACTGTAGTTCTGCCATTGGGACAAACTGCCTGACGTGGAGATTTTAGGAATAAGTCTTATAATGTGAAGTTTTCCAAAAGGAATGGAAAATGAATTCTCCTTCACTTGGTTTTCATGAGCATCAGCCTTTGAATGTGTGAGGAAACAAAACAAAATTGGAGTCTTACCATTTATTGGAATGAAATGATGATTAGGAAACTGGATTATTATCCTGGTATAACTTCATACTAATCTTATGATATTGTTTTTGAGCCTGTGATTTTATTAATGCACACACGTGTGTGTGTTTGCGCATATGCATTGTTGTATACTGTCTAGGGCCATATAACTAAAACAGGTTACATCCCAACCAGTGTTTTCCAATCTAGGCAATATGCTGGCTGGGCAATTCTGGGAGTTGAAATCCAGATATCTTAAATTTGTTGAGGTCGATAAATACTGCTCTAATCAAACATATCAATTTTATGGGAGGGTATCAACAAATTTATTTGGGCAGGGAAAAAACCAAGAGTAAAACTTAAAATTATACAAGATAGGTTGTTAGTAGGGCAATGCTGGAAGAAGGAATCTTTGCCTACTTTGCAAGAATGGTTTCTTAAAGTTTCCTATTTAGCAGAAATGGCAAAGATTTCGGCTTTTTTGAAAGATCAATCGCAAGAGAAGTACCTTTTGGTATGGAAAAGATGGATAAATTTTATACAATACAAGTATGATATAAAAAAATATTACTTAGCTTTTAAATAATTTATATTTAAAGTTTAAGATATTTTTTAGATATTTTTTTTCTTTTTCTAATTTTTTTTCTTTTCTTTTTTCTTCTTCTTGTTTCTTTTCTTTTTCTCTTTCTGTTTTTTAAGTATTGGTGTTAAAGTATTTTATGATTTGTTTAATTATTGTAACCAAATTTGTATATGGTTCATTTGTGTTTAAAAATTTTTCTTTTAAATTTTAATTAAGCCTGTATTCAGCTCTGGGAAGGTTGGGGGAGGGTTGGGGTGGGTTGGGAGGGTTGGGGGAAGGGAACTTTTTTTTTTGTAAAATTTTAAAAATTTTCAATAAAAAAAAAATTATGAGAGGGTTGGATAAAAAGTGAGGCTATAGTTCTGTGTTTTAAGATCCTGTCGTAAATTATCTCAAGACCACTGGAAATTTGTACCAATCCATTTTCACTTCTCATGAACATTGTCCGCCTATTTTCAAACTGCACTTCACAGATTTCAGGGTCAGAAAGTTATTTCACAAAACCTATGGGAAGACATCACATTCTGCATTTCTCATGAAGTTAAGGAGAATTACATTTCACGTGGACTTCTGCTTAGGATAGGGTTTATATGCAGGAGGATGCTTACAAAGGTGCAATGATCTGTTCTGCAAACCTGTAAGTTTTAATCTCTGATGAATCATTATAATTGCCAACCTACCGGTAAATGGCGCTCAGTCCTGCATACAGAACAATGAAGCCCAGAAACTCCTTGTACAGCAGCTTGTAGATGCTCCCTTTCCAGCGGAAGAGCAGTTTAGAGAAGCCCCCAAAGCGAGCATTGGCCACTTTCAAGGTATATGAGACAGTCATGGCTGCTCTGTCTACCTCCCGTGCAGACACAAACTAAGTCACAAAAACAGAGAATGTTGAAGGTAAAGAAAAAACTCGTGTTTTCTTTCTTTCTTCCCAGTTTGAAGAAAGAATAGAGCTGCTGTTGCAAGAAGCTGCTGCATAGCAAAGAAATACTGATTATTACTATCACAGAACATGAGTTTTAATCCAAATATTCCAAAGGATGGAAAAACAAGTATCTGCAGGCATTTGCTTACCATAACTACTACAATTAAGTCATGTAGAATAGATGATCATTGATAATCAGAATACAAAAGCTATGGAGTTCACTATGCAAATTGCCGCAGCAAAAATTAAGTTATTCTGCTTTGTTCAAGAAAAGTGCTCTATGCCTTTGCTTGCTCAGAGAGGTTGATATTTGGAACATAACCTATCGAAACAGAAACTCATGCTGAAACAATTAAGAAAGGCTCAGATTGCAGTCTTAAACTATGGTCATTGGAAAGCAAGCAAACAATTGAAGCTGCAGAGAAGATTGCTCCTTTAAAAGCATAAAAACTCTTAGAAGCATTCTTGTTGCTTTGCTTCTCAACACTTTGTAAGCTATTTGTGATTTATGATAAAATAAGCCCAGAATAAGAAGCCAAGGGAGTGGAGAGGAAAAGAAACACTGAAACATGAGACCACAACTTCTCAAAATGGCAATTCCAGGAAGGGGAGAAGAAGGAGATAGAGAAGGGGAAAAGGAGGAGAACCAATCCAAGTCCAGCTTAGGTGACATTATACTTTTAAATGGAGCAGCATTGCTCTTTTAGTTCTGAAAATCAAAAGACATCATACTTTTGGGACAGATTAAAGCTTCTCTGTTCTCTTGCATTTTCAAGCAAGACTGGATGTTGAATAAAGATGGTAATACCATGAAGGAAAGAGAACAATTAAGGGAAGTGAACTGTCCATATTGCTTCCCACAGCCCACAGTCTGATGGGGTGGACAAATCACTTAAAACCAGGAGGCATTACTTTTGAATATATTAAAATTGCACTGAGCTGCCCCAAAACAAATAGATAATTGAACAACAGGCAAGCTGGAGAAAAGAATTTCTAAACATGCTGCGAAGTTGCTGGGATGTGTGTGTGAAGAGGGTAATGTATAAACCAGCAGGAGTGCATAAGTAACAGCTGCACCACACGCATAGTTGTTATAGGGGTTACACTGTTCCTAAAAAGGCAGTGTCCCTGCCAGAAAAAAAAAAAGACTTGATGTTACTCTGATGAAGAGAAATAAGAATAAGTACTTACCAGCCATAGGACTTGGACTGTAATTTTCCCTCTAATTTGAAGAGATCAGAACATCTATTACCAACTTCCTTTATATATCTTCCGCGTAGTCAATAAATTAAAATGCTTAGAATGATAGATTGGAGGCTATCAGTACTCCAAGAATAAGGAACTATACAACTTCACACGGGATAAGCGTGATTAAACTTACTTTTGTAAAGCTTTCATGAAAATGCAACTTTAAACAACTCAGAAGACTAGAAAAAACAAGACAGAAAGCTGAGTTTTGACTCAGATTAAGCCAGGATATTGATTTATATATATTTTTTCTGAAAAGCCTACCAGGCAATGGGTGCATATGGTTTTCCTTCCACTATTCCTGTTCCCACTTTCAAGCTTATCCCCCATTCCCTCAGCTATCCCAATTTAGAGTGGAATAGGCTACTGTAGGATTTTACTTATGTTCTTGCAGAATTAGTATTCTTAAGGTGTTTCATTATTTCTTTCCTGTTTCCTTGTAGTTCAGATGGCAGATCGGAATTATGGGCTATAGTGTCAAAGCAAGGAAATGTCCGTGGATAATTGTATAAATCCTAGGCAGTTGGGCACCTCATTCTCACACTGCTAATAATCTGCTCCATAACTGTAAAATCCATAAGGCATACTGTAAAAAGTTGCTGCCTGCAAGTAAATTAAAGGTCATTGCACATTTCACAGGATTTGCATATAACCGTGATGGCGAACCTATGGCACGCGTGCCACAGATGGCACTCAGAGCCCTCTCTGTGGGCACGTGCACCATCGCCCCAGCCCTAGGCCTTCAGTTGGGTTTTATAAAACCTTTTCGCTTTAGGCCTCCACCGCCGTGTGCAAAAAAAAAAGGTTCAATCAATCAATCTATTTATTTATGAGACTTATATACCGCTTTAAGTGCAAGCACTCTCTAAGCGGTGTACACCAGTAAGCAATGTAATATATATATATATATATATATATATATATATATATATATATATATATATATATATATATATATATATTGTTTTCTGAGGTTTTCGCGGGTATTTGTATATAGGTCTTTGGTTGTTCGGGTTTTCTCCCGCGTAAAATTGGAAGTGTCTTGGCAACGTTTCGACGAAGTCACATTCGTCATCTTCAGGCTGGTGTTTTTAGCTTCTTGCTTTGAGCAGCAATGTGTGGTTTTAGCTGTTTCTTCCTTTTAACTGCCAGTGAGGGTATGAACTGATTGGATGGGAGCTTGGCTGTGTTCTGATTGGGTGGAGGTGTGTTCTGAATGGTTAGGGGCTTGGCTGTGCTCTGATTGGCTGGGGGAGTGTTCTGTTTGGTTGTGCTCAGGTTAGTCTGAGTTGCAGAGGGGTTTAAGATTTTGGGGTTAGGGAGTCGTTTGTCAATAAGGGCAGGTTTCCAAATGGCTGGTAGGCGGGAGGTATCATCTCGCTTGTTCATGCTGTGTGGGCGTTTTTCTATCTCGATGGCTTCTCTGATTATTCTGTTATTAAAATGTTCACTTTTGGCAATGGTTCTGGTATTTTTAAAGTCAATTTCATGTCCTGTGGCTTTAAGGTGTTGGACCAGGGAAGATGTTGGTTCCTCTTTTTTGACTGAGTTCTTATGTTCTTCAATGCGTGCACTTATTCTTCTGTTGGTTTGTCCGATGTATGAGGTGGGACAAGTGGTGCATGGGATTTCGTATACTCCTTGATTTTCTAATTCAATTTTATCTTTGGGGTTTCTAAGGATGGTGGATATTTTTCTGTTTGTGCAGAATGCTGTTTTGATGTTGTGTTTATGAAGGATCTTACTGATTCTGTCTGTGGTGCCTTTTATGTATGGGAGGAGGGCTTTGCCGTTTTCTTGTTCTTTGTCTTGGATTTTGGTGGGGGTTTCTTTTTGGATTAGGTTTGTAATCTTATTTCTATGGAATCCATTGGATGTTAGTACATTGGTGAGAGTGTGTAGTTCGGGTTTTAGGTGTTGTTCGTCAGCTAAGCGTTTTGTTCTGGAGATGAGTGTCTTGGCTACAGAGTTGATCTGTGCTGGGTGGTGGTGTGAGAGAGCGTGCAGATAGCGGTTTGTGTGTGTTTTCTTCTGGTAGATGGTGTGTCCTAGGGAGCCATTGGATTTCTTGTAGACTAAGACATCCAGGAAGGGAAGTTGGTTGTTAGCTTCTGTTTCCATGGTGAACTGTATTTTGGGGTGTAGGCTGTTGAGGTGTGTGAGGAAGTTGTCCAGTTTTTCTTTCCCATGTGGCCAGATTATGAAGGTGTCGTCTACATATCTGAGCCAGAGTTTGGGTTTGTGATCCGATTTTTCTAGAGCTTGGGTTTCAAAGTGTTCCATGTAGAGGTTGGCAATGACAGGTGAGAGGGGTGATCCCATGGGTGCTCCTTCTGTTTGTTTGTATTTTTGTCCATTATAGATGAAGTATGTGTTGGATAGGCAGTGGTTGGTCAGATCTAAGATGTGTTTGGGGGGGTTATATTTGTTTTGAATAGCTGTCAAGGCTTCTTTGATAGGCACTTGGGTGAAGAGGGATATGACATCGAAGCTCACTAGTAGGTCGCTGGGCTGTAAGCTTTGTTTCTTTATGATCTCTATAAACTGGAATGAGTTTTTTACGTGTGAGGTGATGGATTCTGCATAGGGCTGTAGTTGTTTGGCGAGAAATTTGGCTAGGTTTTGTAGAGGTGAGCCTATGGAGCTGACTATAGGTCTGAGTGGGGTTCCTTCTTTGTGTATCTTGGGGAGACCATAGAGTTTGGGGCATCTGGATGATTTCTCTCTGGGAATGATTCTTTGCTGGATCTCTTCGCTAATGGGGGAGGCTTTTATTTTGGATCTGGTGGTTTTTTCCAGGTAGGTGGTGGGATCTGTATTTAGGGGTTTGTATGTGGAGTCTTGGAGTAGGTTGGTTAATTTGGTTTGGTAGTCAGATGTGTTCATAACCACCGTGGCGTTGCCCTTGTCTGCTGGTAGGATTATTATGCTGGTGTCTTCTTTCAGGTTACGTAGTGCTGTCTGTTCCTCTTTGGGTAAGTTGCTTTTGGGTGGCTTGCTGGTGCAGAGGATGTTGGTGATTTCGAGTCTGATTTTGTTAGCGTCGTCGGGGTTGATTTTGGTCAGGCTGGTTTCAACTCCACATATAATGGTTTCAGTGGGGATGTGTTTGGGAGCGACTGCTAAAGTTGAATCCTTTGGAAAGGACATTGGTTTCGGCTTTGGTGAGGATCCTATCTGAGATGTTATGCACTGTTTGTTTCATGTGTGGCTGTGAGGGAGGAGGGGTTTGTTTCTGCGTTCTTGTAGTCTTCGGAGTTTGTTGGTGTGTGTATCTGTCTTGAGGGTGGTCTGTGTTTCGGCTCTCAGACGGCGAGTTGTTTGGATTTGTCCCAAAGTGCGGGGTGGATCTTGTTGCTGAGTTTGAGGTGGAGTGTGAGGAGATCTTTGTTAATTCGGTCTAGGAGGAATCTTTTTGTGTGAAGTTCATTTCTGATTAGGGCCAATTCTGTTCTTTTCAGGATCCGTTTGGTGGCTGCAGAGTTGGAGTGGAATTTCAGTTGGAAACATGTGGGGATTAGATTTTGATCTCGGCAGTTACGTAGGAATGCGAGGTCACATAAAATGGAAGCTCTTTGGACTTCAAGTTTTCATAGGTCCTGGTCAGATGGTGGATTTCCTCCCCGTAGAGGTTCGATATTTGTTTTCTGAGGTTTTCGCGGTATTTGTATATAGGTCTTTGGTTGTTTGGGTTTTCTCCCGCGTAAAATTGGAAGTGTCTTGGCAACGTTTCGACGAAGTCACATTCGTCATCTTCAGGCTGGTGTTTCAGCTTCGTGCTTTGAGCAGCAATGTGTGGTCTTAGCTGTTTCTTCCTTTTAACTGCCAGTGAGGGTATGAACTGATTGGGTGGGAGCTTGGCTGTGTTCTGATTGGGTGGAGGTGTGTTCTGAATGGTTAGGGGCTTGGCTGTGCTCTGATTGGCTGGGGGAGTGTTCTGTTTGGTTGTGCTCAGGTTAGTCTGAGTTGCAGAGGGGTTTAAGATTTTGGGGTTAGGGAGTCGTTTGTCAATAAGGGCAGGTTTCCAAATGGCTGGTAGGCGGGAGGTATCATCTCGCTTGTTCATGCTGTGTGGGCGTTTTTCTATCTCGATGGCTTCTCTGATTATTCTGTTATTAAAATGTTCACTTTTGGCAATGGTTCTGGTATTTTTAAAGTCAATTTCATGTCCTGTGGCTTTAAGGTGTTGGACCAGGGAAGATGTTGGTTCCTCTTTTTTGACTGAGTTCTTATGTTCTTCAATGCGTGCACTTATTCTTCTGTTGGTTTGTCCGATGTATGTGGTGGGACAAGTGGTGCATGGGATTTCGTATACTCCTTGATTTTCTAATTCAATTTTATCTTTGGGGTTTCTAAGGATGGTGGATATTTTTCTGTTTGTGCAGAATGCTGTTTTGATGTTGTGTTTATGGAGGATCTTACTGATTCTGTCTGTGGTGCCTTTTATGTATGGGAGGATGGCTTTGCCGTTTTCTTGTTCTTTGTCTTGGATTTTAGTGGGGGTTTCTTTTTGGATTAGGTTTGTAATCTTATTTCTATGGAATCCATTGGATGTTAGTACATTGGTGAGAGTGTGTAGTTCGGGTTTTAGGTGTTGTTCGTCAGCTAAGCGTTTTGTTCTGGAGATGAGTGTCTTGGCTACAGAGTTGATCTGTGCTGGGTGGTGGTGTGAGAGAGCGTGCAGATAGCGGTTTGTGTGTGTTTTCTTCTGGTAGATGGTGTGTCCTAGGGAGCCATTGGATTTCTTGTAGACTAAGACATCCAGGAAGGGAAGTTGGTTGTTAGCTTCTGTTTCCATGGTGAACTGTATTTTGGGGTGTAGGCTGTTGAGGTGTGTGAGGAAGTTGTCCAGTTTTTCTTTCCCATGTGGCCAGATTATGAAGGTGTCGTCTACGTATCTGAGCCAGAGTTTGGGTTTGTGATCCGATTTTTCTAGAGCTTGGGTTTCAAAGTGTTCCATGTAGAGGTTTGCAATGACAGGTGAGAGGGGTGATCCCATGGGTGCTCCTTCTGTTTGTTTGTATTTTTGTCCATTATAGATGAAGTATGTGTTGGATAGGCAGTGGTTGGTCAGATCTAAGATGTGTTTGGGGGGGTTATATTTGTTTTGAATAGCTGTCAAGGCTTCTTTGATAGGCACTTGGGTGAAGAGGGATATGACATCGAAGCTCACTAGTAGGTCGCTGGGCTGTAAGCTTTGTTTCTTTATGATCTCTATAAACTGGAATGGTTTTTTACGTGTGAGGTGATGGATTCTGCATAGGGCTGTAGTTGTTTGGCGAGAAATTTGGCTAGGTTTTGTAGAGTGAGCCTATGGAGCTGACTATAGGTCTGAGTGGGGTTCCTTCTTTGTGTATCTGGAGACCATAGAGTTTAGGGCATCTGGATGATTTCTCTCTGGGAATGATTCTTTGCTGGATCTCTTCGCTAATGGGGGAGGCTTTTATTTTGGATCTGGTGGTTTTTTCCAGGTAGGTGGTGGGATCTGTATTTAGGGGTTTGTATGTGGAGTCTTGGAGTAGGTTGGTTAATTTGGTTTGGTAGTCAGATGTGTTCATAACCACCGTGGCGTTGCCCTTGTCTGCTGGTAGGATTATTATGCTGGTGTCTTCTTTCAGGTTACGTAGTGCTGTCTGTTCCTCTTTGGGTAAGTTGCTTTTGGGTGGCTTGCTGGTGCAGAGGATGTTGGTGATTTCGAGTCTGATTCTGTTAGCG